GGAGGTTGAGGCAGGAGAATTGCTTGAACCCGGGAGGCAGAGGTTGCAGTGAGCCAAGATTGCGGCACTGCACTCCAGCCAGGCGACAAAGTGAGACTCCATCTCAAGAAAAAGAAAAATACATATATATACACACAGATGTATATGTACCTGAAGTCAGGAGTTCAAGACCAGCCTGGCCAACATGGCACAACCCTGTCTCTACTAAAAATACACAACAGCCATGTGTGTGTATATGTGTGTGTGTATATATGTGTGTGTATATGTGTGTGTGTGTGTAGATATGTGTGTGTGTGTATATATGTGTGTGTATATATATATGTATGTGTATATATATAAAGGCCAGGCCCGATGGCTCACGCCTGTAATCCCAGCACTTCAGGAGACTGAGGCGGCAGGATTGCTTGAACTCAGGAGTCCAATACCAGCCTGAGCAACATAGGTAGACCCTGTCTCTACAGAAATTTTTAAAAATTAGCTGGGTGTGATAGCATGGCCCTTTATAGTCCCAGTTACTCAGGAGGCTGAGGCAGGAGGATCGCTTGAGTCCAGCAGGTTGAGGCTGCAGTGAGCTGTGATCACGCCACTGCACCCCAGCCTGAGTGACAGAGCAAGACCCCGGCTCAAAAACAAAAACTATGAAACATGAGGTAACTGTGAGGTGTTTGCGTTTCTCTGGTGAGCTTCCAAATTCTCATCTGTAAAATGAAGACCATCAGGAAGATTGGTAATAGTGTATGTAAAGCCGTTGTGCAGGGCAAGTATCTTGTGGTTGATGGTAAATTTCCCCAACTACCACTCTGCTGGCCTAGACCCTGAGCGAGAGAAAGAGGCTGGAGAGCCCGGACGTCCGGGGACCAAGCCCCCGAAGCGGGACGAAGAACGAGGCAAGACCCAGGGCAAGCACCGCAAATCCTTTGCTCTGGATAGTGAAGGGGAGGAGGCGTCCCAGGAGTCCTCCTCGGAGAAGGTGAGGGCCTGGGCGCTGGCTCCCAGCTGAAGCCTGCTTCCCCATAGCCAGCATCTCTGTGGTTGGAGCCCAGGCAGCTGTGCCTGGTGGAGGACCAGTTGTCCCTTTCCTGTTGTTAGTCCCCATTTGTCCTTTTTCTTAAGGATGAGGAGGATGACGAGGAAGATGAGGAAGATGAAGATCGAGAGGAAGCTGTGGATACCACAAAGAAGGAGACAGGGGTGTCGGATGGTGAGCACAGACAGCGGAATTGACTTTGGGCTCGGAGGAGGGGTTCGGCTGCCTGGCTAGCCCTTTTCTGAGCCCACATGACCTTCCTTGGGCTTGTGGGTCACCTTTGCCCTCTGCGAGGGCATCTGTTTGGGCCACATTCTTAGGAACCCTTGGCCCCTTGACAGCAATAAGCTCAATGCTCAAAATGCTCCCTCCTGCTCCCTCTTCTGCTGAGACATAGCTGTCCAAAAGGACAGCCTGGAAGAATCTTTTTTTTTTTTTTTAAATGAGAGTCTCACTCTTGTTGCCCAGGCTGGAGTGCAACGGCGCAGTCTCGGCTCACTGTAACCTCCGCCTCCTGAGTTCAAGTGTTTCTCCTGCCTCAGCCCCCCTAGTAGCTGGGATTACAGGCACCTGCCACCACACCCAGCTAGTTTTTTGTATTTTTAGTAGAGACAGGGTTTCACTATGTTGGCCAGGCTGGTCTTCAACTCCTGACCTCAGGCGATCCACCCACCTCAGCCTCCCAAAGTGCTGGGATTACAGGCGTGAGCCACTACACCTGGATTTTTTTTTTTTTTTTTTTTTTTTTTTGAGACGGAGTCTCACTTTGTTGCTCAGGCTGG